TTCTCCAAGTTTTACTCCCTCTACTGTGACCAGGTATTGAACTCACAACTCTTTGCTCAAGTCACTTTTTGGATTACTTCAACCAATGCTTTTATCCACTGGGTTATGAATCCATGGACTAAATAAAGGGTTTGATTCAAAATTCCAACATAAATCACCTGAAGAAGTCTGGAGCATATAACAGATGAAACATCATAAATATGGCAATAAAGACGAGGACAACAGTGTAAATAGTTATAATACTTCATCTCAGAAACAAACAGATCATCTAGTAGTCATACAAATTCAAATACAAATTCAAAATTTACTAATAAATTTCAGTATGTAAAACAAAACATCAGAGATGACAACACCAAGTGTTCTGAGAAAATAAAGAATATGGTTATATGGTTAGTCTTCTGCAATCATTTAATTTTATTGCTTAAGCAATAGAGTATCTGTCAGACTTCCCAAGGGAAATGGATGCAGGATCAAGTCTTGCCAAAAGTTGGCTTCTATTCTGCCCTGTCTATAATCGGCAATTAGTAAGAGACAGCCTGAATAGTTACAATGAAAAGCAGCCAAAACTAAGAGGAAAGAAATACTAAGCAAATCCTTAATAGTGTAGATTTGCTTTGCTTAAACTTATTTTCTCGTAAGCTTTTATGAATTTTTCTAACAGTTATCATCATGGAAAGTGGAATTGGTAAGCAGGGCTCAAATTTCATTCTCACTTGTTGCATTCACTTTTGGACAAATACTCTTGACAAAGGTATGAACCAATCTGTTCTCCTGCCAGCTATAGGCTAAGTAGCAGAAAAACTAGGCCCTCTTTCCTTAGGTAGCAACTAATCTAAGAGATGGAAAACTATAAGTTTCAAACCATAAACACAACTGCTTTTGCCAATAAATAATGGTAATTCACAGATAATAATGAAAAAGGAATATGTGGAGAGTCATGATCATCTACTTCCTAAAGGAACATTATTTTAAAAATAATAATAATGTAGTAATTTTCTTCTGGCTTGTAATAAAGTTCCCTAATTCATTTCCTTCAACCAACAGATTAGCTTAAGTCAAACAATCCAACAACACGTCTCCTGTTCACTACTGCAGTTGCACTTCTCTCTATCACATCTTTAAAAACAGATAGACTGAGTCATAGTTAAAATTTGCATATGTTAAAAGTAACTCTTACAAAAGTCCATTCGACACAGAGATTCATCTTTCTTAAATAAATGACTCGTAAAGCAGCCATTTTCTTTTTTAGAATATTTTGCATGCATGAAATGTCCGAATCCATTTTCATCCAAGAGATAAGCCATTTTCTCTACTGTTACAAATAATGATGTCTAAATTACAAGGTGTTAATAATAAAGATGCTATTTAAAATTTGAAACCAGCAGCTCTGAACCTTCTGCTTAGTTGCTAGTGTAATTCCAAGGTAGGGAACCTTAACAGGAAGTTATATTTCAAGTTTAGCAACTTGATACAGATATTTAAGACCAGCCCAGCATAAGAAATATATTGTACATGGCAGAATCATATTACAATAGCAAAATATTACTTTAAAGCAACATATTGATTTAGTAAGCAAAACTGATAAACCAAAGTAAAAAAGTGAGAAAAACAAAAAAATGAAGTTCAAGAGTTCAAGTGAATTGAATCTCATCATCAATATGGCTGTCAGTATGATCAGTATCTTATCTGAGCTGAACACACTTAACAATATGTCAGCCATCTTCTTGGCTATCTTTCAAAACTGTGGCTACAAGGGGAAAAAATCATAATCACTCAGCAGTACAATCATAAATCTAGTCAGACATGAAGTTATCTCTGAGCTGCTTTATATAAATGAACTAGTTTCAAAAGCTGGTTCAAGAGAAAAACAGAAAAAATAAACTGTGTGGAGAATGTCTTGAGACAGAACCAAGACATTCATGTTATTTAAAATCAGATCTAGTGATACAGGTTGAGAAACCTTTATCCGAAATTCTTGGGACCGAAAATGCTTCAGTTTTCAGATTTTTTTCGGATTTTAGAATACAGGCTGTTTAATTTGTATACAGCATCTATAAAATGAAGCAGCTTGGGAATGGAACCCAAGCATAAACATGATATATATCCCTTCACATTTCATAACAGTTATATATATATATATATATATATATATACACCTTGAAGGTAGTTTTATATAAATAACATATACCCTGAAAGTAGTTTTATTTAAAATTTAATAAATACTGTATACATACAGATAATGAGATGCCTTAGTTTCAAATGTTGGTTCAAGGGGAAAACAGAGGAAAATAAATTCTGTGTGAAAAATGTCTTGAGAAATTGTACATATCTTGCCATAATCAGATTAATTTGTTGTCAAATTAAAAAAAAAAAAAAAAAAAAAAAAAAATTAAAAGATACACTTTTTGAAAAATAAAGGTCAAAGGTAATGGTCAAATTATCTTATTTGACCCTTAAAACAAAAAAATAAATAAATAAATCACCTTTTAGATCTATCCAAGTACTTTAAAATGAATGTAATTGAGCTTTGTAGGTGAAAAGAAATGAGATATTGATATTTAAACTTTGTGACTATTTTCCAAAATTCACCTTTTTGGCAAAGGTTAAAGGGTCAAATCTTGGGAAGCTTTTGGCCTAGAGATATAAAATAAATATCCTTCAATTCATATCATGAAGCTTTATAAGTGTACCAAATTTGAAAAAAGTGTGTTTGCGATGGTCAGACCCTTGCTGATTTGACACAGAATAACTCAGTTACATTGAGATGGTTTGCATTGAAATCATTTTGAAAGCACCAATTCTCATTCAATCACTAAAGAAGCATTAAGCCTGGTCAGTACTTAAATGGGGGGGGTCTTTTGGGAACACCATATACAGTAAGTAATGGAAGCTGGCAAAAAAAGGCCACCTGCCACACCGTGTTGATATCCTATAATTTTTTTTTTTTTAAAATTAAATCAGTTTTATTACTAAGCTTTTTCATGGTCCCTATAATGATATAACATTGATGCTAACTCAGCACTTCATAACACCAAGTCAGGATGGAAACTAAGAAAATATACAAATATATTCAGCCACAAGAAAATACACAAGGCAATATATTCTACCACATGATATACAGTAATATCACCAACTATCTTTGTTAGACAAAGAGACTTAAAAGGATAATACAAAAGTATATTCCATATTTGTATAACTTATAGTTTCTAGAAAAGTAAAGGTCATAGGCTACAATCAGTTTGGAAACTGAAACCAAATTTTCAGAATCCTTGTAGTAATTTTTCCTGATAATTTATTGGGGAGACAGAAAAAGTACTAGGAAGAGAAAAAAGTCAAACAGTTGTGTTCTGACGCCAAAAAGAAGAGGTATTGAGCAAAATTTCATGGAAAAATTAGCTCAGTGGGAGGTGTTGTAATGGAATGTCCAACACTCCCTATCGCATATGTGGACTATGTCGGAGATATATATAGTGTTCACAGATATACCTGGCAGACTTGCTTCAGGAATTACTAGCCTGCTAACTGATTCCCCGTCTTTCAATAGTGTATTCTCTTTTACAATAAACCTGTCTTTCTTTATCTACACCCGTGTTGCTGTTCCTTTCACTTGAGTACTACATTTGTCTGTTTGTAACCTTCTTTAAGTATACAACATTTATAGACTAAAATGGCTAACAAATTGGACAAATATATGTTTAAAATGGTAATATTTCAGTTAGCAGGAAAACTAATCTACTGATGTGGAGACAGATCCACTAAAAAATTACCCCCATCAAGAACTGCTACTTTGTGAAACATACTCCTATGCGGATATTTTTCTTAACACTTTAATCTTCGAGTCAAGTGTCAATTGTTATCCATCCTCATAATCTTCACTTCCTACCACCACCTCTTTTATTCATATCACAAACCTTATTCCTTCTAAACATTTTAACAGTAACCCTCTGCCTCGAGTGACTCTTGAATCTTGTAATAGAAGTTTATTATTAAAAAAAAAAAAAGAGCATTAGATATTATTCAAGGAAGTTTTATGAAAGAAAGTCAAAATGCTTTTAGTCAATATATATTTTTTTTTTTTCTTTTTATGAATGTCATCATCTGAGAATATAAAAATAAATATATTTTTTTAAAATTCAAAGTATATTTTAGTGCTTTATTAATTTTTTTAAGTGTCTTTCTGAAAGCCAAATAGAAAATAAGATAGACAGACAGAAGAGCACTGTATGACAGCAAACTCCAGGCTGTTCATTAAATTATTCAATTTGCTTAAGAGAAACTTACAAGAAGCTGAAGTTACTCTTTTGTACTAAATACAAGTGCCATCTGGAATAGTCATGCCAGTAGGAATTTTTCCAGATACAAATTCTACTATTTAACCCATAGCTAGGAGAGGAGATGGAATCATATCTTTCTCAAGGTTATTTGCACATAAGTGAATGTAATAAACACAAGTTTAACTTGAACTCTGCTTTCTGATTTATTTCAAGCCATTATCCATTACACCACCTGCACATCCGTTGCTGCAGAGAAAATCATTTAAAAAAATGATTAAGTATAGAATAGCAAATAAGCAACATGCCATGGAGGCAGATGATTAAAGGCAAGAATTTAATCATGCCAGCACTTGGCACACAAGAGTATTTAAAATGAGACACTTATATTTATTCAACTTAATAAAGCACAGATTCAAATGAGAGACTAATTCATTTTCTACAGCTTATCAACCCATTAAAGGTTATTTAAAGCCAGAAAATATATTTTAGATTACAAGAATTTGCTTGCTTTTTTTTTTTTTTTTTTTGGTGATAATAACAACTTAGTGATATAAGTTTTACTAATTAACCAACTGCTGGGGATGGGGAGAAGTGGTAATCATACCTTTCCCAAGGGTATTTGTACATAAGTGAATATAACAGACCCAACTGGGAATTGGAACTTGACTCTCTGATTAACAATTCTAATGGATAACAATTACCCATTACAGCACCTGCACATTCATGCTTACACCACCTGGTATTCCCAAGCAGTCAACCATCTAGGTAGTGACCAGGCTCAACATTGCTTAACTTCAGTGATCATCTGGAACCTGTGTTTCAACATGATATGGCTATAAACCACAAATGAGAAAGGAAGATTGTGTTACGCCAAATTTCCAAATGCAGCCTACAATGAAATTTTACACTCAAAGTCCTGGTATTTACCAGGTTTGAACTCCAATCCCCAGCACATGTGGATAAAGAAATAACAATTCCAGGCAAGAGGAAGGCCACCTTAAGACATCACATTCCAAATATAGTCTGTGAACTATTTTCTGTTAACTGCCAAATTAAAGAGATCCATTTGCTTTCAGACTAACCACAAGTCATTCATTGAGCAATTATTCTATGTGTCTATCTACAAGTTAATACCACTGAAATGAGTCTGTGTGTGTGTGTGTGTGTGTGTGTGTGTGTAGAGCCAACACAAAAATAGGTTTGTATTGATTCACTAGAGTCTGTTCTCTTTTGGCAAGATAAAGAAAAACGTTATCAAGACAGGTATTTATTCCCTATGCAAACCAGACAATTGTGTCACTCACTAGTTAGAAGATTACAATCTAAAGATTAGCCTTCCCAGTGGAATTATTACTGGTAAATTCACCAATTCAGATAACAGTTCATAAGGAGTTTTTGCACCTGTCTATTAAAAAGAAAAGTTCTAGAAGGAAAGAGAGTGAGTGTGTGTGTGTGTGTGTGTGTGTGTCCTGGAATCCCTTCTTGGTCAGGCTGGGAACTCTTCTGCCTTTCCTTTTAAATGTATTTGTTAAATTTCAAGTTTTACAAATGTCTGCGTCACAGAGAATAATGAAGAGAGAATATTTGCCAAGATCAAAAATGAAATCACAAAAAAGAAGGATAAAAAAGGAAGGGAGAAGAGAAAAAAAAAGAGAAGATGAAAGAAGAGAGACAAAAAAAGAGAAGATGAAAGAAGAGAGAAAAAAAAAGAGAAGATGAAAGAAGAGAGAAAAAAAAGAGAAGATGAAAGAAGAAAGAAGAAAAAAGAAAAGTAAAAAGAAAGAAAAAAAACAAATGTTTAACTGGTGCCAGTGGAAGAGTCGGAAAGTCACAAAAAAAAAAAAAAAAAAAAAAAGAGCTATGCAAGAGAAAAGGACAGGAAATCAAAGAAGGAAGTGTTTCCTTGCAGATAACAAAGACAGGATTCAGAGAAAAACATGCACTCTAACCTATACAAATTGAAACCATTCACACAAATTAGCTTTTCTAAGCTTATCAATTACAGGATAACAATATATGTAGGTTTATCAGAGCGGTTTTATGGTAAACTAACAACCACATGGGTCACATTATTGCCGCATACATTTTTTTTATATGTTCCAAAAAAAAATTTCCAAAAGAAGTAAGGAAATAACCAATGAATTTCCCTTGAGCCAGCCTGCTCACAAGTAGAATGTTTCTCAAGTTTGGTTTTCTCCCTATGGCTTATCCAGTTAAATTGGCTCAACAATTAAAATAAGACAATTATCAGACACAAACATAATACTGGATTTATTAACTTTTTAAGTAGCTAAAGCTCATTCCAGACATTGGGTAGAATTTTTATATTCATACTATCACTATAGATGATGAGTAAAAGAATGATTGATTCCTTGTACCATTCCAGAATAGTATTAGACTCCTACTGTCATGCACTATCTTTACAAAAGTCAGATCAGACCAAAAATTGTCATATCTGGGCTGGAGCTGCTCAGTTCTCAGTGTTCAAGAACAATTACATGTCCTTGTGGGTGATGAATTATTTTCCACCCATTCCCTCACAGATGAAACATTGTTAACCTATTACTACACTATTGCTATTTCCATGGCAAATGTTCAAATGAAATATATTCCTTCATTCCACCAGTTCAGACATCCACAGCTAGGATCCACCCTGCTATGTATACAGTCAACTCATGCTTATTCCCTTCATATTGCATTGATAAAGAGGAAGTTCCACTCACACAGCTTCTTCCCGTGAACTGTTAGTTTGTGGAATAGACTCCTGAAAGGATTCTTCTCTGATCACTATAATTTTAACCTTTTCAAGCTTAATGTGAAGCGTCATCTATCCAACTTATCCTCATAATATGCATTTACTTTTTCCCTTATAACAATTCAATAACCCTCTACCTTGAGTGGCTCTGACATTATTTCTTATTACTGTAAATGTCATATTTATGGGCACACATTTTTTAATAAATTTTCTGCTGTTTACACTTTGGGTATGAAAATAAAGCTAATAGATATAGACTTGGAACTATCTCAACAAAGAATATGTGCATTTCTTAAATTGAGTAGTTGAGCTTTGTGTTGCTATGATTGCTTCCTGTGGCCTAATTGGTAAAGCATATCTAACCCTAGAGAAAATAGCTGGTCTCCAGGATGAAAACAGTTTTGGACATGTCTCGCATGTAAGATATTCCCAAAAAGAAAATGGCAGCTTCACGAGACGTATATTTAAAAAACAGGAGTCAGATAGACTTTTGCTAGAACCTCTGCTAACGTATACAAATTTGAACTGTCATTCAATCTATAAAAAGCGCTTAAAAAGGTGACAGAAGCAGAAGTGTTACTGTTCTAGCAAACAGGAGACATGTTTTTGGATTGTTTGACCTGAGTTCATACCGCCACTCTGTTGGTAAAAGGAAATGGATTCAGAAAATTTATTACAAGCCAGAAGAAACTGACTACAGTACAGTTAGATTAAAACTGGCTCCCCCCAATAGATTTAATTTCTGTTGAGGAGTATAATTTCTTTAGTAGGACTTCTTGATCTCCAAGCCAGTAGACTTTAATTTCATTGTTAAAAAAAAAAAAAAAAAAAAAAAATCAGGGTTATCTGCACAAACATGTGTGCCCATTAAATATAACATTTATTTTAATAAGAAATTATATTTATTGTAACATATATATATATATATATATATATATATAAAGCAGGAGGGGGAAATATAAAAGTAAATGTTGATTATAATTTATAATTCTGCTGAAACGCTGAAGATGTAGAAACACTAAGTTTTTAAAATTTCTGGCTTCTGACATGTCTACATGCAACAAGATTTGTTAAGGTAAAATCTAGTAAGATCTGAACCCAAATTTATTGCAGAAAACTCAGAAATCAGTGTACTTTCAATACTTTTCACCTTATTAAATTGTATAGAGTCACTTCTTTAGTCTGATAAAAGTCTTTTAGAGGACGAAATGTCTAACACAGAATGTTTCTGATTTCGTCATTCAATTATCCAATATTGAGTAATCTTGCACACATTGCATACATTTACATCGTTTTGCTTTGTATATATCCAATAAAAAATAATAAGCTTGAACTCAGAGATATTTTAAGAAAAAAAAATTAACAGAACACACAATGAATTGTTTTTTTTTTTTTTTTGTATTAAAAGTTGATAAGACAAAAGCTCAAACTTTCCAAGCCACTTTGCAAGTTTTTATTTTTCTTTTACTCTTTATTCATGTTTTTTTTTTTTTTTTTTTACTTTAAGAAATTCAAGTCATTCTGACCCAACACATCTCACCTACATACCTATCATCTAGAGCAATTTATTCATGCGCAAATGCTCTAAATAATCAAAAAGAATTTTAGAAGAGATTGGGTGTGTGTGTATATATATATATATATATATATATATAAAATTCTAGCATTCTTCTTTAAACACCCAGTGAGTATTGTTTGAATTTTCCTCTTTACAGTAACTGCTATTATCTGAATGAGCCTTTTATTTTACAAGAATGTTTTTTTTCATTTAAACTCGATTTGAAATTTTATAAAGTATGAAAATACAAACATATAAAAAAAAAGAAATTTCATCATTCTCAATAATTACAAACATTATCTTCATTTAAAAATAAAACTAATTTATCCTTCTACGTGTCATAGCCCTTCAGAAAAAAGGCAATCATGGCTCTCCACAACCTCCTACCCACCATAGTTCTTAGCAGATTTTCTCCCTTTACTGAGGCTCCCACCCTCATTTCGCTATCTATTCACACAAGCTCATCAGGTAAGTGGCCCACTATCTTCCCCTATATCTTACCCTCAATGTATCCTGTGAGGCTTAAGTTTTTCAAGTCCTCCTTTCTTATGTCTCCAAGGAATTCCAGCTATCTTTTAATGATACTGAGTATGTTTTCTTTCAGTTGCTATTTTGTTTAAGACTTCTTTGTTGCTTACTTGCACAAATCAGTGGGAATAGAGTCAGAAATATATAGCTTCAGAAAAAAAAAAATAGAATATAAAAAAGGATGAGGTTAGGGTAAACAAGTTTTACTTTCAGTTCAAATTTGATCAAGATGTTTTTTTCTGTTTGTTGATGTAAACAATAATAACTTTCTGATGAAATGCCAGTGTAAGAAAACAACAGTAACAAAGAGCAACTCAAATTGCATTATTGTCAACAAAAAATTCATGAGATCTTTATCATAAAAAGGGTGTACTGGAAAATTTTTAGCCCAACCAAGAAGCTCTTCATAAATAATTTTTTTTTCTTCCTTTTAATCTTTAAATATTGATGAATGGTCAATTCTGGCAGAAGTAGGTCAAGTAGAGAATGGTTCAGCATTTCCTCCTTTATATATAAAGTTCTGTGACTTTCATTAGTCTGTCTGTCCGTCCTTCACACCCTCTAAAATAGCCATACATTGACCAATCAAAACCAGATTAGGGGGAGAAATGCAAACAGGTAATGGGCATACAAAGTACAGTATTAAATTTTTTTTAATGTAACTTTATGTAAGCTGCCTAAACTAGCTGAAATAAGTTTTCATAACTTTGCAAACACTATTTTTTTTTTTTTTTTTTTTTTTTAACAAGGATCTAGTTTCCAGTTCACCCTGCCATGGTGAGATCTATAAACAAATCACAAGGTCAAATGCTTCAAAAAGTTGGAATTTGGCTCCAGAAAGAAATATTTAAGCATGCCCAGTTATATGTTACATGCTCAAGAGTAAAAGAGTAAGAAATCCTAATAACTTATACTTCACTGTGAAAAAGGAAAAAAGGAAATTTTCTTGAAAAATATTGTTTACCATGAAGTAGGGATTTTATCAAAGTATTTTTCCAAACAAATCAGCTTATTACATTGATGTCTTTTTTTTAAAAAAATTGAACAAAATGTAGAGTTTGTCAAACTTGACAAAACAAGGCAAAATATTGTGATAATTTCAACAAATGTCAGCGTGTTGGAAAAAAATTCTAATATTCTCAAATTTATACATGTCCAATGATCCATTAATCCCTCAGAATTCACTGTGTTTACATTTGGCTTCAAAGAGTCCCAATAACAAATGAACATTTCTTAAATAGGTTAATTGAGCACTGCTTTATGGCAAAGTCATTCATGGCTGAGTAGACTAAGGCACATCTAGCTAAAAAGTATGTTTCCTAATATAAGGTGGGTGTGTAGAAAACTTTCAAAAGGCTAGTAGGCTTCAATTACACAGTTTAAAAAAAAAAAAAAAAATGATGTCTACTCAAACAAATGTATTCTCTAAACAGAACATTTGTCATAAAAAAAAATAGATACATGATAATGTTATAGAAAACTGACTGAATTTATTTTGGACATTAAGAAAAGAATTCTTACAAAATAATTAGAGGCTTTTACTTGAACCCCCTCCCTACCTCCACCACATAAAACTTATTTTTAATCTTTATTCCATAATTATTATTGCTCACAAACATAAAAACATTTCTTACTGTTTTTAGGAAGTGATTTACTCTTCCTGATTATGCAATAATTAGGCTTATATTTTTGAATGTATAAAATTCAGATCTATCTCCCCAAATAAAACAAACTAAGCCACTCTTAGATATAAAGAGGGTGATAAGTTCTTACTCTAAAGAGTAAAGAGTTTGTACAAGAGATGAAAAATCTAGCATTGATGATTTTCTGTATAATAAAGACATAGGAGAATGGTGAACCTCTCCTTTCTGGTAATCATAAATCGAAAAGCTTAGTACAAATCATCAAACACCAATATTTTTAAAAGAATTTAATTTTTTTTTATGTGTATAAATGTGAAGATTGTCTAGATATGATCAACCATACATGACATTCTCAGAAAATAAAAGCAATATCTATAGTAAATTTACAGCCAAAAATATTTAAAATTCAATAAAATATTAGATTATGGAAAATATTTTCTTAAATTTTTAAAATTAACGAGCACTTAAAAATTATATATAAAGACTTCATATTATTTAAATTCATTTTTTAACACCTGAAGATGCCCCACCCCTTGAATAACATTAAATAAATATCAATCTGCCAAACCCAGGCATGCCTTAAATAAATGGCTACTGTCAGGTTAAAAGTGCATTTCTGCAATATTTTAAACTTGTGACACTATTTAGCTATGGTAATTGGCTAACTAATTAGCCAAAAAATTAAAAACGGGAAATACTTAAGGTGAGAAAGACCTATACCGAAAGATAGACTGAGCAACATTAAAAAGAAGAATTTATTTTATTTACAAAAGAAAAATACTTTTTGCAAAAGACAGAAAATCAGTAAGAAAAAGCGAGACTGTGATTCTGTCAAATTAATTAATGTTGCAATAAGGGAGTGATGCGTCAAACGAAACAGAATTCTGAAAGATAAACAAAATCGAACCGACACATGTGACCACGGAGAAAAATTTCAGCTTGAGACCACCCTGGAGAGTGGCCATTGATTATCTTTCAGAGATATCATTTGACTTTAATTCCTGATTCCAGCGAGGGAAGCCATCTGGTCTATGTACGAATCTTGACATGAAACAAAAAGTCGAAAAGGGGATCATTATTATTGCTTATTCAAACTGTTGACGTCAGATGCAGTGTCGTCGAAAATAGGCATCTGGTGATAAGAGAATTTTAAGAAATGAAAAAAATAAAGAATTTAATTATCAGGTAAACATGACCACCCAGTTAAAAGTTGACTAAAGTGGATTTGGAATGTGATAAGGAATTGAATGGCAATCTGGGAATTGTAAATGTTTTGGCCAAAGGAAAAGGAAAAAGAAAAGATTTTTGTAAAACATGAGGACCAGTCTAGCCAGAACCACACTGCCGAGAGATCATTGGCTAAGAAGTAGCATGGGTAATAGGCAGAGGTGAATGCATGAGAAAGACGGAAAGTTGTTAACACCCATTGAGGGGATTGGTATCAGATACCAATGTGAGAGAGGAAGAGTCTAGGAGGATAACTCTCCTCCGACCTTCCCTCATGGACAAGGGAGGAACCCCCGAAGTGGAAAGTGATTAATCTTCCAAAAATGGGAAGTAACTAATTTTCCTGGCCTAAGAACAAAGAGAATTTTTGTTGGGAATTAAGAATTGTCAAAGAACCCAAACCACGACAGGCCCCAACCCGGAGTTGGTCGTTGTCCATATAAACAAACGTCTCGAGGCAGCTAGTCAGGCAGTTTCGCCAGAGTTTCAGACACGGTTGGGGTTACAGAGTCAGAGTGTTGCCTCGCAGAAGTTGACCGAAAGATTTCCATGTCCTTTTCAACTTAGTCTTCCTACCAAAAGCAAGATTTTATTGACGAATGACTTAAGATACCATAACTCGATTAAGAAACGCTAAAAGTGTCACAAATCCATAGAAAAGGGCTGGGAAAGAAACGCCTGATTGATTTCGTCTACCTAAGGTCAAAGCCACAACGTGGGTAGGTTAGACTTGAGATCAAAGCAGTTACTTCAGTGACCAAGCGTTAGAGGCGAGCGGAGAACAAGAACGACCAGATTGACCAACACACAGGCTGGTGGCAGCAACAATGAGTCAACCCCAAAAGCTGGTGGAAGAAATCTTACAGCTTCGCACCGCAACTGGGAGTTGACCACAGGCCGACAGCGCAGTGTCATATATTGACGTCGCGACCGGTAGACGTCACATATTGTCACTGGACTGCGACCACCGGTGCATGTCACAAACTTAAAGTAAATAATAGTTGCTTCAAATCAGATTAATTATACTTTAAATCAGCTAACATTTCTCAAATAAAGTTTCAAAATAGTATATTTTTTTTTGGAAGATTTTTTCAATAAAGAGAATTACATTGCAATGAATGACAACTAGAAAAGGTCACTAATCAGCTATTTTAGCAAAAGAAAAAAAATAAGAAAAACCTCTTCCCAGCCAATTTAAAATTAGTTTTGAAATACAGCAAAGTATTTTGGTTATTGGAAATACAAAATTTAATCTATTACCTTGAAATTAAAATGAAAATAAAACCTTCAAGAAAGATTTTTAATAATAATATAATAATCTTAGTGTTTTATGGAGTTTTTTTTTTTTTTTTTTAGGTACCTACATAAGCACAATATTAGATTGGTAGTAATGTCTCATCATTTTACTAATGAAATGGCTGGATGTAACCATAAGTTCTTTGCTAAGAGTTTTTTTTGGGGTTTTGTACATATCACTTATGAAACTCTCTTCCTGATCTTGCTTTTTAGTCAAATTTTATCTTCAAAGCTTTAACTGCAATGTCAATTGTTCTTCTGTATTCTTAATTCCTGTTCTTTTATTGCTCTCTCTCTCCTTAATATTATCTTTCCTCGTATTATACCACAAACAGTAATCTCATTGTACCTCAGTGGCTTTATTGTTTTGCTTGGGTTGAAATGATTAATTATATATATATATATATATATATATATATATAGATAACTGTTTAAATGTTAAATATCTTTTTGGCTGCTGCTATTTGCCATAAAAAGTTTTCCTGAATATTTGGGGGTTATTTTCCTTCTTGGCTGCTGAATTATATAATAGTCGTGTATTTGAGCAGCAATCTCTCTCTGATACATGTTTAACTAAAAATGACTAACAAGGTATTTTTGGTTAAGTTTTTTTTATTGTTTTCCTTATATGCAAACAAGAAATTTGGGAAGGGACAATGTATATAAAAATTATCCAAATGACAGTTCTTTCCAAGTTCTTTTGGTTAATTTATTAACCATTTTCAAGAATTTTGGTTGTGCTATAGCAAATGGTGTATAAGCTGCTAGAAGATAGACATCTTTAATTCCTAAACATGACCAGTATGTTAAGACTGAGTGTTCATAATTGATGTTGTTGAGATTTGTTTTACCTTTTTTCATGATATCATCATCAGCTTATTTTAGATATTTTTCACAGTTAGAGATGTATAGTATATTAGTGTTTTCACTGATTATGCTGCATGTTGGAATTGGTCAGTTTTCATATTGGTTTAAATAGGCCCTTATAGAGCAATGATCTAAGAAATGCATTGTTAGCCACCTTGATAAGCTAGTGGGAGTATGTCCAATGTAATTACTCATGAAGTTTTTCATGTCAGGAACACAGTACACAGATAAAAAAATAAAAAATCACTATATATATATATATATATATATATATATATATATATATATATATATGTGTGTGTGTGTGAGAGAGAGAATACTAATAGATAAAAATACAGCAATGTCAGTAATAAGTACAAAAAAATTGTTATCACGTAACATCAGTATAAAAAGTAAACAGTCAATGAATGTCAAGCAGACAGAGCTACTACATTAGCAGAAATGAATTAAGAATTATATAACTGCTAGGTGTACTTCGAGGAGAATTGGTTTACTGCATCATGCCGGACAATTTTTCTCATTGGAATCCATCTTGCACATTTATAAATCTACCATTCGGTCATGCATTAAATATTACTGCCATACCTGGCCTGATGTTCCTACTAAATATATAGAGATTCTTGACAAAATTCAAAGAGTCTGTAATGTACTCAACCCTAACCTGGCATCTCAGCTTCAGTCACTTTCTCACCAACATAACGTAGCTTCCCTCTGTATTTTCTACTAAAATTTTCATGGTAATTGTTTTGATGACCTCAACTGCATGGATTTAAGCGTGCTACTAGATTGGCAATTATGTCTCGCCATTTTACTTTTGAACTAACCTCAATTTCTTACTTCCCTACAATCTCCAAGAATTTAAATGCAATGCCAATTGACATCTTCTGTCTTTCTGTATCCTGCTCTCTTATTGTTCTTTCTCCCTACTAAAGTCTTCTCAATCTCTTTCACTTCCAGTAAAACTCCAGCATCTTACTGGCATTATTGCCTTGCTTGGGGTGAAATGATAGAAAAAAAAAAACTAATAAAAAAAATATATATATATATATATATATATATATATATATATATATATATATATATATATATATATGAGTCTATTTAAGCTGTCATATAATATCAAGAATTTTTTTTATCATATACATTGCAAAAAGAAACTGCAAATAGCATTAAAATGAAGCAGCAGTAGTAGTAATAGTAGTAGTAAAAGAAGAGCTAGTGAAAATACTCATGATACATGATCTAAGACTTAGATACCAATGTCCAACCAGCCAAATGGTAGGGCTCACTAACACATATGGCAGACTGACAAAATACTAGATCACAATATTTCATGAATTATTGATTGAAACTGTACTGTCCTATATTTCTAAATGCACTGAGCTTGTTGATCTTGAGAGGAATGCAGTAATGTTGAGTATTCAGACAAGTGAGAGATGAGAGACGGGGGGGGGATGGAGGGAGAGAGAGAGAGAGAGAATGAGGAGCAGGAGAGAGAGAGAATGAGGAGCGGCAGTGGGAGAGAGAGAGAGAGAGGAGCAGTGGGAGAGAGAGAGAGAGAGAGGAGCGGCAGTGGGAGAGAGAGAGGAGGAGCGGCAGTGGGGAGAGAGAGAGAGAGGGCAGTGGGAGAGAGAGAGAGAGAGAGGAGCGGTGGGAGAGGAGGAGAGAGAGAGAGAGGGAGAGAGAGAGAGAGAGAGTGGCGGCAGTGGGAGAGAGAGAGAGAGAGGAGCGGCAGGGGGAGAGAGAGAGAGAGAGAGGAGCGGCAGGGGAGAGAGAGAGAGAGAGGAGCGGGGGGAGAGAGAGAGAGAGGAGCGGCAGGGGGGAGAGAGAGAGAGAGGAGGCAGCAGAGAGAGAGAGAGAGAGAGAGGGCAGTGGGAGAGAGAGAGAGAGAGGAGCAGGGGAGAGAGAGAGAGAGAGAGAGAGCGGCAGGGAGAGAGAGAGAGAGAGAGGAGCGGCAGGGGGGAGAGAGAGAGAGAGAGAGAGGAGCGGCAGTGGGAGAGAGAGAGAGAGAGAGAGGAGCGGCAGTGGGAGAGAGAGAGAGAGAGAGAGCGGCAGTGGGAGAGAGAGGTAGAGAGAGAGGCAGGCAGAGAGAGAGAGAGAGAGAGAGGGCGGCAGTGGGAGAGAGAGGTAGAAAGAGGAGCGGCAGGGAGGGGAGAAAGAGCAGTGGAGAGAAAGAAAGGAGCGGCAGTGGGAGAGAGAGGTAGAAAGAGGAGCGGCAGTGGGAGAGAGGTAGAAAGAGGAGGGGCAGTGGGAGAGAGGTAGAAAGAGGAGGGGCAGTGAGAGGTAGAAAGAGGAGGGGCAGTGAGATGGGTGAAACAGGGAGAGAGAAAGAGGTATGAGACAAGAGAAAATGAGACAAGAGTGTATGTGTGAAAGAATACAGAATGAGGATGAGAAACTATAAAATCTGATTTTATTTCATCAGTGCAGGAATTGATAAACTGAGTGAAAAAAATAAAAGATGATGCCTCATGTGGGTTTTAAATTCCACACTTGAAAAAGCTAATGCAGATAAAACTATTTTTTGCACAAAGCACAAATGCAATTATTAAATTGAAAAACTGCAGCAAAGATTGTTCAATGAATTTTTCATGTCCTTAAATTGTTCCAGAGTTACTTGCTCTAGTCTCTTTTTAAACAAGGACATTATCCTGCAATGGAGTGATAAATTAGGTGTTTTTCATATATATATATATATATATATATATATATATATATATATATATGGATATATCAAAAACTATCAGTTGTTGTTTTTCTTTCATAGATTCCACATACAAGGTAATTAAGCTGGACTGATTGACTACTTCTTTATACATTTCCATCACAAAAATGAGAAATTCAAAAGATATATATATATATATATATATATATATATATATATATATAAAATGGATTAAGTCTGACAATTATTTAATATACTGTTTATACATGACTTACACTTAAATAGACTGCATCATATAAACGTATATATATATATATATATATATATATATATATATATATATATATATATGACGGTCCCAGTTGCAGTGAGTTAAGTAAAATCATAGAATTTTAATTAACACTTAAATTAACTTCTATGTCTGAAGTCATATAGACCTTTTATTTCTTTTACATATTTTCTGTCTGACAACACAAGATAGGGAGAGAAGTGTTTTATGACAATCTGCAGTGCATGCACAAGAAGTGAAAGTGGCCTAGTGGATATGCTATCAGTAAGCATAAGCAGAATCAAGAAAATAACTGTTGTTCATTTCATAAACAAGACGTTAAAGCATTAACCTAATACTTTACAATCATATTTTCGAATGTATAAAATTCAGATCTATTTCCCCAAGTGAAACACACTAAACCACTCTTAGATATAAAGAGTGTCATAAGTTCTTACTCTGCAAGGGTAACAGGCTTGTTGTACAAGACATGAGAAGTCTAGCAATGATGATCTTCAGTATAATAAAGACATAGGAGAATGGCAAGCCTCTCCTTTCTGGTAAAGCAGCTAATGGAATGAGTCATCTTTTATGATCTTCAGTATAATAAGGCTAAATACCTCCACTTTTCATTAATATCATCAAAATGTTTATGTTATTATTAAAAGTAAAGACCAAAGTATTTTTGGGTTATTTTATTAAATTTTTTAATTGCTTTCATAAATAAGGTCACTACTGTCTTATGAAAAAAAAAAAATTTTTCAATGAAAGAAAAATCTGTGAGGATGATGCTGTATAACTCTCCTTTACAATCAACCGATAAAAAAATGAATTCAAAACAGATAATGAATAAAACCAATCAAAACGCATTTAAGTATGCAATCATTACTAAACTAACCAAAGTTTAAAAAGATAAACCTAGATCAGACAGATCAGTTTAGGCAAGAAAATATTTTACCATCTCAGCCATGGTGACCTCAATTCTAAACCCAATGAACTTTAACCTTCTATGGTTAAAGCAAAAAATTTATTTCAAAACTAATCTGGAACACTTTTACAGAAACAAAAAATCACTGTCAGTAAATTGCAAGTTCAATAAGTTTGTAACTCATACAAGTAAAAGAACAAGTGTTACACTGAAAATTTGTATTAGGTCAACTTTCCTGGAAATAATCTGATTTAGAAAATAAAATCCTCTTCTGAACATCTTTTTTATTAATTATGTATTAAGCAATATAACGAAAAACACAAAAATTGAATTATCCTGCAACAATTTTGAAATATGGACACCATACATGTATGTTTCAATGATTTTATAAATAAATAATGAAACCATTATAATTTTTTTTCCAAATGATCATCCACTTTGTAGACAAATCAACATTAGAATAAATTGCCAAACACAATGTGAAATTAACAAAAACTAAAACCTTGTAACTAAAACATAAAAAAAATAAAGATATTGGTCTATAAATAAAAAAATATATATATATATATATATATATATATATATATATATATATATAAAGGTAATTAATCCATTGGTTATATAATCCAAGTACATCCTAGTAATATAATTTAATATACACTTAGGCAGTCATGTATCTTTTGATACATGACTGACGAGGCAAATTTTCTCCTGCTGTAGGTTGCCATTTCTTTTTGCAGTAGACCAGTTGCCATCCAAGGCTATAGAACCCAGTCAGCCCTGCTATTTACCCATAGCAAAGATTTATACCTTTCCCGAGGGTATTAGCACATAAGTGAATGTTATGAATTTGACTAGAATTCAAACTCGGATCTTGGATTCCTCAATCAGAAATGTTATCCATAGCTCCACCATATAAAAAGAGCACAGTGTATTTATTATTACAAAGCAAGTAATTAGTACACAAAAAAAAAAAAAAAAAAAAATAATCCAAAATTACCTTTTTTTTTTTTTTTGTAGCTGCCACATTTAAATTTCTAATTACGACAAGCTCAGTCTATGCTGGGGTTGAATAAGACTGACAAATTTTTCATCAGTTGAAGTAAGCCTATTCCCCATAGGAGGTAATTTGGGATTTTATTGTGTACTAATATATATATATATATATATTCAAGGACTTGTTTTTGGTGGATTTTTTACATGTTGGGGCAACAATATTCAAGTGATAGAATTCTTTCCATCTGATAAAAAAATTGATTAATCTAACATATTTTATATATTTTAATCTAAGAAGTAAACCAAAACAATACTGGAGGCAAAATATTAAAATTATAAATGATTATTGACATTTAGAAGTTGTGGAGAGCCGTGATTGCCCATATCCTGAAGGGTCAGGGCACATAAAAAAGAAAAATCCTTCATAGAGTTATAGCAAGCATGCTAATCTATGAAATCATTGCTTCTTTTCTTCCTTATTAGTCATAAATCTGACTGTGCTAAAGATGATTTAGATAAATATTGATTACCCTTCATTAAAAAATGTTTTTGTCTTTTGTTTGTTTGTTTGTTTTGTTTTTTTTTAATCAATTCGCCCCAAGCAAGGCAGAAATGCCACTAGTACACAGAGGGTTACAGGGACTGAAAGTGAGGGAAAAAACCGAATACAGAGAAGACTGAAGAAAGAACAAAAGATGAATAGGATTCAAGAAGATAGAAGATGGTAATTGGCATTGCATTTAATTTTTGAAGATTGTAGTTATCAGGAAAGCAAGTAAATGGAAAGGAGTTCCACAGGTGGGAAGTGTGAGAAAAGAAACTGTTGGAGTAGAAGTGGCAGTTGCATTTAACTATTTCAACAATAAAAGAGTGGGACCTAAATGCCAATCTAGTAGCATGCCTAAATTCATGTAGTCAGGACACCAGTGAAAAAAGGATATGTTTTGATGATACCCCACCAGAATGGCTGAGCAGTCTATCTGGTATACAGCTACCATTTTCCAATGCAAAAGGAACTGTAATGCAATGATATTAACATGTGATTAGAAATTGAGAATAAATTTTCCATATGTAAAGTAATGGTTTCTACACTTCTGGGCTTTGTCAAATTATGATTGGCAAAGTCAAGGGCAAGTGGTTTCAGGTCTTTCTTCAGACATTCAATCTTGTGAGGGATTCTGCCTTCTCTTGTAGTTTGGGTACTTACATAAGTTCCAGTCATCTGGTTGTCTTATGTGTGTGTGCATATATATATATATATATATATATATATATATATATATTATGAGTTCAGTTGGGTTCACTTCCTTGTTTATAATGGTGAGTGCATGACCTTTAATACCAGATTCTACACTTAATGGTTTTAAAGTCACCTTCTCAGTCAAATCTCACTGCTCCTAGATCTTCAGTTTCTGAGGCAACACTTATTACAAAACCTATTTTTGTATCTCTGGTAGTGAACTGTAACAGAGAATCTGGTAAGCCTGATAAAAGACCCCGAGTTGGTTGTATGTGGTGTTGGAGTTAACAATGAGGACGAAGTACCTCTCCTGCAAAGGACCACCAGAAGGAAATGCCCACCCTCTGCATGTTGATGTTGTAATCAAGAGATCAGGGGAGAGTGTAACAGAATCTGGTCAGACTGATAAAAAACTGTTGGTTGTAAGTGGTGTTGTAAGCAGCAGGAGTTGCATCCTCTTCCATAATGGGCTGTTGAGAGAAAACCATCTACCTAGAGTAGGTGGTGCTGACTATGAACAATACTAGGCAGGTATTAGTTAATAGTCAGCATGAGTCTGGGAGAGCCATACAACACCAGTTTTTTTTTTCTCAGTCAAAAGAGGCGCTGACAACATGTGAAAACTAGACATGAACCCAGCACATATTAAAGGCACCACAAATCAATTCTTTTTAGATCAAGGTTCCTGATAAACATTAAATTCAATTCAGCCTTCTAGTATTTCCAGCCACAAATTACATACAACACAGCTACTACTTCCCAATGCTTTATGCAAAAGGAACTGCTTCTACCAAGTATGAGGAAGTAAAGCACCTGCTCCTCTAGTTTATCATAAATCTCAGTATCCCATGAGTCTCTTTTACATCAAGGTGTCTGGGCCAGCTTTGCAAGCACAGAGATTTCAAGATATCCCTTTACATCTACTGAAATATATACTTTAAGCAAGGGAGTGTAAAAATCAAGATCCAGATTTTTTTTCATGAAAGCCTATGAAGTAATATTATCCCAAACTTATTTCAGGTTCTCAGTAAAGCATTTCACCATTTGGAATTTGAATGAGTATTTTTACATATTTTTGTTGATTTTATGACAATGTTTTCTTCAGACAAAAGACGAGATTGGTCTAAAATTTTGAGATGAAAGCAACATAAATGAGGATAGTAAATCTAAATAATTTGTGAAAAAAAGACAGTACTTATTAATAGAATTTCAGACAATGTTTTGATTTTAGGATCAGAAAAAATTTGTATTTATTTGACAGTTTTATAATTAATGTTTCACAATCTTCAAATCACACCAAGAAACTTTTGTAAATAATCAAAATTATTTTGCAAGAAACTTATA